AGATGAGTGTGAAATTTAAGGAAAGTACACAGTGGTATAAGTTTTTTCACGTGGCAACAGCCATAGCAACGACTGTTAACTATAAGAACGTGACCAAAAATATAGATTATTTTTAACTTATATGAACTAAACTATTTAGAAAAAAACTTTTAAGACATGCACAACTCGATTGGTATTATTATTTGTGAAAAGCTTTGCCTCAAATTGCCATCACAGGCTCATTCATTTCCCTTATGACAAGGAATATTTCTCACAACTGCGGTAACTTTTTACAAAATAGAACAACCATTGCACCCCCTTCCCCGGGATCCAATCTGCACCCCCCCACTATTTGTGGCTTGTTAAATGCTTGATACTTCATGTAAGAAACTTAAAGTGCATTTTTCTCCAAAATTTAATTTTGGACCGACTGACTTCGTGCCAACATTTCTACTTTGCAAGGTTTTTAAGTAAAATTCCCGAAACTTGGGCTGATCAAAGACAAATAGTGTCGTGATGTCATAAACCAAAAAAATCGTAACATTTTAAGGTCTGTCACGTGACATGAGAAGATTTGTCCACTGGGTGTGGTAAAAAATAAGGTTATTTCTAAATAAAGCTGTAAAAAGCACTGAAAATAAGAGTTAACTGTCAAAACTTAGGTTCATTGCACAGACCAAAACAGAAACTTACATGATATGGTTATTTGACAGTCAAATCTTGTTTTGTAAAAGAGCAGGAAGTGTTGGCATCAATACTATAAAACACTACTTCAAAAGGCTGTGGCTGGCTTCCATAGCAACCATTTTGATTAAAACTCTAGAAATTTAATTTCTCTTCTTGAGTGCAATAGCACACAATTGATCTTTCTTCACCATATTTAAACAAACTTTTTGGTCCATTTGAGGGTACCATACCACCTTAAGATCATAAAGCAACTCAATTACAATATTCATGGTGTTGCTTGATCTAAGTCCTCTCGGCCGAGGGGGTTTTACTGTAGATGGCAGAAAGGTAAGAATATATTTCTTACAAAGCAAAGTATGATTCTCTCATCTTGAAATTAAAAATTCAAGTATCTAGACGAGAACTCACAGTCAGACATTATTACTTCCGGTGGTTAAGCTAGCGTGACCGGTCAAAGAGGAATGGAGAGGGCCCTGGAACCTTCAATGGTAACCTTATAAAAAAATGTCCTTCCTTTCTAAGAAAATCAAACTGATTGGCTTTCAAACCATAACGCGTTAATCTTTACTCCTTTTGAATTAAGTTTCGTTTCTTCAAGCGTCATCCCTGGATCAGGTAAAACTGAAGGTTTTTAATGTTTTCAGAATGCCGCGTAATGTTCTGTACTCTGTACGACTGTTTTCATTACATATGCTCATGATATTTCAGCTATTTAGTTCACATTTCCGCTTACCACAATACCAGGTTGCTTAAGATGTCGGAAACAGCTCCGCTTTTGCCTGCCATTGAAGCCAGAGGAGTTCAACATACTCGAGTGCAAGTAGAAGATGTTGGAGTAACTGTGAGAATACGGAATTCTCCGTATGCCTATTCCAATCACTTCATTACTCAGAGCCGACCTTACTTTCGGCGACCTTTGCCCACTTACATCGATTGCGTGCTGTTCTTGCGTTTCACAGGGCTGATGTTTGTGGCCTCTTTCTTGGGTGCCTTGGCTCTTAATGGTGGCTATTTCAAAGGTGCACCGTTCTACTGTTTCTTAGTCTGCGCAGTTTTCATTGGGATTTTCTGCCAGCACGAGGTTGTAAACAGAAAATCACTCAAGACTGTTTTGACGCAGCCAGTAATCGATGGTCAACGGAGCTTGAACGCGTTGTACGAAGTGACAATCACCGAACTGCAGGGAATGGCGCTTCAGAATTATCGAGCTGGAATCGGCTTCGTTCATGTGTCTGAAGGAAAAGTGAAATTCCAAGCTTTTAACAGGAGGGCAGTGCGAGCCATGATGAGTGCTAAGCAAACGTCTCGATGCATGCTGTTCTTGTTCTTCTGTGCCGCTTGTTATAACTTTTATTTCATGATGGTTCACTCACTGGGTTTTAAATTCTGAGGATATGTAACTGAATGGTGTAGGTACAGAATACAGCAGCTTACTTCGCTTCATTTTGCAAAGGTCCCAATTTACTTTTAAATGAGATTGCGTTATGTTTCACTCGGGGAGTTATTCTCGTTCCCAGAGCCACCCGATCCTCTTGCTCCGCCGTCTTAAAGGGACGGGCGGCCCTGGGGAATAGAATAGTGTTGTAGAGTTAGCAAGAATACAAATATTCGTGTCATTTGTTTGCGTTCCTAGACAGGAAAACGCTTTACTCTTACAGTGTGTGTACATCGTCGAAACTGAAGTACGAATAAGGATACGGTGTTGTTATATCTGTCAGTAAGAGAGCATGATTATATTCTCTTGCTGTTAGTTACCACGCGCGCTGTGATTGGTCAATCAACTTAGGGGGTCGCATTCTACTGTACGGCTCGCTAAAATTCACATCTACTTTTG